TCCATCAAACGAGAAAAAACACTAAAAAATAGCCCAAACTGTATGTTACAAGGTGGAGAAATTGTGCTGGGTCCACACTGTTTTGCAGGGAAACCAAAGCCAAGAAGCTGCAAAAATGTTTCAATCAGAGTCAAAAAAATGTTTTTGCTCTAATGAGTACTACTACAAGACTTAGGGGGGGGTGGGGGGGGAGTGTTAAATTCCCCGGGTATACCTTGTTTTATTAATAGTGGGGCCGATAAGTGGAAAATATCATAAGAATCGTGCACTTCTGGAAGAAAGCATGAAAATTTCAGGGATTCATCTCTACCCTATAGACATTAGATTCAGACATAGACCCCAAAAATCTGAGCCCCCTGGGGGGGCAGGGGGGCCCCCAAATTTTGAATTTTGAATAACTACGGAACGGCTAATGTTAGCGTAATTTTTTTTAAGCAGGACGATAGGAAATTTTATCAGGAACAAAAATGGTTATTATGAATTTTTCTGTGGGATCGATATTTAAGGCGTGAAACAGGAAAAACCATCGGGGGACGGGGAGCCGGCCGTTCTGAGGCAGATCCGCGCGCTGCGCTGTTTGCCCGGGACGCGCGCGGCGGCACAGTACGATGTTACCGACGAAACAGCCGCTTGTCTTGGTTTAATCTCAACGATGCGCAGTTTTAAAAATAATAATGAATTTACCGTACTGCCTAAATACTTTTCCTCAGTAATTTAAGCTCTACTTTTTATTAGTAATACATAAAAACAAGCAAAAGCGAAATACTCCAACGTGAGAGCGCCGAGTCAATAGGAGGGATCGGTCATCGCGCATCACGCGTCTTGTTTTCTCTGAATGCAGAGCTTTTCCGACCTTATTACAGAGTAAATTACCCTTTCTTCACCTCATGTAAGTTTTGTACAGACAGGATTACATTTTTTTAAGATATTAGAGCGAAATAACAAGTTTTAATACGATTTTGACCCACCTTTTCATGACTATTGGAAATGGCGAATCCTTCGTAACTTATTTTTAGCTTATTTTTCATGTTACTTTCGGCAAATGAGACAATGAGCTGCTTACATAACCGTGAATTTTGGAAAACTTGGTAGAGACATTAATTGAGGAGTGAGGAGGGAGGGTAGGGGGGCTTCACATTCCCTTCGCCACCAAGGTTACCAGATTTCCTTCATGTTCATTGGTTCCTCGCAATTGCATAGGTACTGATTCATACGGAACATTCCGACAATGTTCTTTTCTCCTCTTTTTCCCTCCAGCCAGTCAATAGAAGTTTTCATTTTCATGAACTCCCCATTTTTTCAGTTATTCAACAAATATGCATATTTAAAAAAAAATAGAACAATACATTAAATAAATGATAAAAAAGAAGATATCTGAATACTATCGAGTCATCCTTGAAGATATTATTGGTACTTACCACGACACATAGAAAATGGAATGAGCAGTAAAAAAAATCCATGTATATTATCTTAAATTTTGTTGTATGGAATTTAGAGTGGAGTTGGTAACATTTGTATTAAAAAAATATTATAATAGGAGGAAATTTATTTATCATGCAGGTTCTGATTCTTTAAAGAACCTCTGAGAAGGACCAGGCCTCAGGAAGAAATTTATTGCATTTCTTCTTTTTCAACCCGCAAATCTCGTACCGATTTTTGATTTGTATGGAGCTCATGGAAGAGTTCTAGGTATAAGTACGTCGGAGACAATTTTCAAGAAACGGGACTTGCAAAATATGCAATGCACAAAACGTACACCTTAAACGTTATCGTACATTATAACACTGATCGAATTGGCTTTTGAGATTATCAAAAGGTTAATTTATCGTCAAAATATCAAAAAATCAGTCAAAATCAGTAATCAGTAATCAGTTGCAAAATTACCGAGATTGCGGAATATCGTATACCTATGATGCGCTGACGTAAGAGCAGGATAGGTTCCCAGTACTTAGGCGCGACTTCCTATCACTCAAATGGACCCTTTTAACAGATTAGCGGATACGGCGGCTAGTTATTACTTAATAATATTCTTTGTACTGTACAAGAAGCAGTCCAACAAAGGTTTTTTGGGGGTCATTTATCCCTATCAAGCTTTCTCAAGATTCTTTTGCCGTTTTTTTGGAGCAAGTTTTGAAGGTGGTTTTGGTCCTCTTAAAAAAATGCCTATACGTAGCAATGATGTACCAAAATGTTCCTGAAAGAGAGGAGAATAAGCATGTTTCTATGTATGCTCATTGTTTACAAAATTAGGCTCCCTGTCTTAAGTAAGCATATTTAGATACCATCCTGATGTCGCAGCACCGAGAGAAAGAGAAAGAAAAACACTTTAAAATCATGTTTCAGGTCATCGTGGTACACAAATAAGATTTGTGACTTTAAGCCCCCCCCCCCCTTCCCGAGACAACTATGTGCCTCAGATTTTATTCCGTTCAACTGATGTCTGATGCAGTTATCTCGGATGCTGTAATAAAACTTGACAAACCCATACAACAAAACAATTCGGAACTCCAGCACTTAACCCCTTCTCTTTCTGTTGCCGTGCGCTCGCTTGTATACATATATTACCTGCATAAGTTAAGCCCTATTTTAAGGCTTTATAGGTAGTACGATATATTCACAATACTTTTAAAACTGCGCTTCATTGAGATTAAACCAAGACAAGCGGCTGTTTCGTCGGTAACACCGTACTGTGCCGCCGCGCGCGTCCCGGGCAAACAGCGCAGCGCGCGGATCTGCCTCAGAACGGCCGGCTCCCCGTCCCCCGGTGGTTTTTCCTGTTTCACGCCTTAAATATCGATCCCACAGAAAAATTCATAACAACCATTTTTGTTCCTGATAAAATTTCCTATCGTCCTGCTTAAAAAAAATTACGCTAACATTAGCCGTTCCGTAGTTATTCAAAATTCAAAATTTGGGGGCCCCCCTGCCCCCCCAGGGGGCTCAGATTTTTGGGGTCTATGTCTGAATCGAATGTCTATAGGGTAGAGATGAATCCCTGAAATTTTCATGCTTTCTTCCAGAAGTGCACGATTGTTATGCTTATCGGCCCCACTATAAGAGTTGTTCAGCAGCGATGGTAGATGACCCAAAACGTTATAGATCTCTCGGCAAGAGCTCAACTTAATATTCCAACACAAGCTGCTTGAGCTGAACCCTCTCCCCCTCAGGAGCAAAAACTCCGACAACCAAAATCCAGGGCAAAACTTTTTCTGACTCTAATTGAAAAATTTGTGGAACTTCTTGGCTTTGTTTTCCCCGCAAGATGGTGTGGACCCAGCACCATCTCTCCACCTTGTTAGTCTATCATTTACCCTCTTAATTGATAAGAACCACCCATTTCAACTAATAGGATCACTCCACACTACCTCTGTCTTCTTTGTCTGTCAGTTCGTCCATCAATTTCAACAGTCAGCCCACAGAGGGATGGGAGGAGGAATTCCATGTCAAGAACTCAAGACAATAATAAATATTTTTTTTACAAGTTCTGCATTTTGATGGAAATGCACAACCTTTATCACTAAAATAAAGAAGGGAGGTGAAACAACCAGTCAACTTTTAAATGGTGGCGAAAAAAAGGAAAACCCGAATTGTGGATGTAACGATAAAAATATCCTGACAACCAAAACCACTAAACATTTTCAACTTAACTCATTGACATGAGTTCAAAAACCAGACAACTAAGACGGCAAAATCAAGATGGAGATCATAGCAGTAGATTGTGTATTTTGAAAACTGCAGCAAAAATCTGAAGCAAATGGAGCAAAATTTTAATTTTGGACTGCCTAAGCTCACAGCTGAACAATGTTCCTTTGATTTTACAGAAACAAATGTTCATTAGCATTTGAAAGTAACCAAATCTTATAAATCTGGAGCTTGGTATCTGTAGTTTACACTACCAAAATTGAAATGAAGAGGAATTAGTGATTGATATATTATAATACATAGCGCAACAATGATGTATTATAATAAACCAAAAGTATCGAAAACGAAACAAAACGAAACAAACGGGAAATCTAGGTAACAAGCTGTGAGCTAAATAATGAAAATGGAGAAAGTTGAAACTAAAAAACTCAAACTCACAAAATTAATTAAAGTTGCCGACATGTTTCGGGGCTCCCCAGCCCCTTCTTCAAGTCAAGATGCTTAATTAAGTCTGAATTTAGCCTTGAAGAAGGGGCCAGGGAGCCCCGAAACGCGTCGGCAAATTTAATTAATTTTGTGAGTTTGAATATTTTAGTTTCGACTTTCTCCAATTTCTTTCCAAAACTGGATTTATATTTGCATTTTATATGAATTTAGCTTTTCACAGGTTTTTAACAAGACAAAAAAAAATGATTGAAAAAAAAAATAAGAAAATAAAATAAAATAGATAAATACATGAAAGTTAAGTGCTTAATAAAGGTGATTTTCATGAAGAAGGAATGATGAGAGCTGAGAGACGACTGAGGATTAGTCAAAAAAATGTCTGAGTTAGTCAATAATTACTTCAAACTGTTAGCAGTTACTTATCAACACTTGGCAAGAGCAGGAGATCAGAGAATCAGACAGACTTATTTTACTGTTTAAAATGTTGACGAAACTCCTGATAGTATGAGCCAAGACATACCCAGTTGCTCCACAGTCAAGTACTGTAACTTTGGTTCTTGTTGGATATTTCCTGATTTTCTCAGTAAAACTTATTGCGTATCAATTATATAAAAATAAATATCAAAATAAATAAGTAGCATGATCTCCTCAAATAATAGAGTGTAATGAAAATTCGCATATTTGATTACAGTCAAAAGTAAATAAAGATCCAACTGTCTGCCTGAAACCTGATTAAAGCCGCAAATTTCCAAATCCCAAAAATCAAAGTCAACCAGAAAACCTATTCAAAAGTCAAATAAACCAGATCTTGCATCAACTTTTCTCATGAGCATTTTTATCAGTTCAACTCTTTTGAGCAATTTCGACTAAATACTTAGGGCAGTTCTACCACTGGTTTCTTTACTTCTTTTTACCTTGAATTTTCTAGATTTCCACTCTCAACTGACCTAAAGAGAAAGATAATGAAAAGATTACATTAAGAATAATTAGATGTTAGAGGTGAGATAATGAAGGATCAGCATCTCGAAGAAAGATGAGATGAAAAAAAATATGATTGGATATTGCAATCAAGAATGAAGAAAGAAGGCTGCCTGTTCTGCTTCCATTTTGGATGGATAATACATGGCTTTTCAACACTGATAAAGGGTGTTGCAGACCACTTGTATCAGGAATTCTCATCAATTTTTTTGGGTTGGACCAAGTCTGGGATCACAGAGAGAAATTTATAACTAACCCCAAGGAATTCGAACTTCACCATCTCTAACTCTCCAAGTCATGTCTTTAAAAATTGGGGTTCCCAGCACAATTGCCTTACTTTTTCTGGCCCTCACTCCCACTTTAACTTTCTCTCTTTCTTTAATTCTTCATTTTCTCATGTATTTTTTAAGTCCTTTTCTTTACTTTTTCTTTTTCATTTCTTGTTTGTTGTTTCTGTATTTTCTATATTTTTCCTTTTCTCACTATTTTATTTTCGTATTGTTAGTGCGGTCAATTTAGGAATTGTTCATGTGGTATGGGGCAAAAATTCATAAGGAGGGTTACTGGGCAGGAAAATGTTACTGTTGCATTCTTGACGAACATACCAAGAGTCCCCCCATTAATCTACTTTGTGTTAATGCCGCAATTTTGAGAAAAAAGGAGGTTGGGGGTCTTAATACTGGAAAATTGTTGGTCCTACGTAAAAAGAAAATAAGATCTAAATGAAAGAGCATAAAATTTACTATTAGAAAAGGTATCGATTGAAAACTTATGCGGGTTCCTTTAGAGAAGACATGACAATGTTCAAAAAGCTCATTCATCAAGAGTTCTTGCTTCGTAAGTTCGAAAAGTTGAGATTTCAATTTTTTAAGTAAAACAGGTCAGGGTATTGATAATAATAATAAAAAAAAAAACATGAGAGAATCCAAGAAAACCAATTCCGCAAGGAACATTAGATCAGAACAAAAACCTTGAGACCAAATTTAAGGACCTTGCCCTCCAAAAACATGACAAGCTAAGAGTATATTGAACAGCAAATGCAGGATGAAGAAGTCTTTAGTGTTGATAAACGTACGGCAAGGCCAAACCTCTTCATTCGATAAAGAAAAAAATCAGTCAGTCCGAAAGACACTGAATAAAAAATTTCCTTCCAATTTCATAAAATCTAACAGGTTCAACTAATAAGGATAATTAACCTGAGAAAAGGACACCATTAAAAAAAGAAGACTTACTTCAATTCTCAAAAGAAACGAATTTTACATCTTAAATTAATTACATAACGGAGTAGTTGCATGCGGCTGGGATTTGGGATGTAACTGCTGAGTCACAAAGAACTTTTGGCAAGAAAACCGATGGTGGCATTGGCATCGTCAAATATTGAGTCCAGAGCTCCAAAATAGCCCTCTAAAAATTTGTCAAATCGCAGTGATACATAAACAATTTTCATTAGCTGTTCTGTGTTCGGCAAACTCGGTCAGTTAATACAGGGGTCCCTAACAGCCGCAATTACCTCTTCTTAGACCGTGTATTTTCTGTGCTGCACGGTCCGAGATAATTATCAATTAAGTGAATATTATGCGACAATTTGACCTAATTTTGTTTAAAAATTACAGAAAAGGCTGCCTACAAGGTTTCCTGTTGACTGAATAGTTCTTACTAATGGTGAAACAAATGCAAAAGGAGATCAAATGAAATGATACTTCTAAATTTTTTGCCTTTTTACAACATCATCAAAATGATCAGAATACTTGCGGTGAAAATTTTTTAGCATTCAAATTTTGCCTCAAATGAAAATATGTTAAAATCGTCTTCATAATCGATTAGTAAAGCCTTCTGGAACCTTCAAAAGAAAAATTGTTGCCTAAATTTCGGGTGCGCATTGGGGATATGTGACACCAAAGTTTACACCCGACATAACCTAAAATGAATGCTACAGTTAGTTTCGTTCAATTTTTTAAATTGTACTGGATATATCTTGCTATCCCTGGCTTCAGTGTAAATTAGATACATTTTAATTCAAGGCGAATCAGAGGGTTTCCAATAGGATGAGGTGGCAAGCTTACCCTTTTAACCCTTAGATGACTAACCGGGTCTACAAGGCCCGGCAGCTTTTTATTTTTCGTGCCACAACGGCTGTAATTGACCAAGGAGTCTATCCTTCACAATCAGCTCTACAAAAACCCGTAAAAACATATTACTTGAAAAAAAATTTTTTTTGAGGAATGTAACTCAGCTTTTTTTTTTTCGGTCCTGATGTTGTCTTGAATGAAATTCTGTTAGACAATGATCATTTTGAACGCTTTTAAGCCCTTTGTCTTCAGATCAATAGGAATCAAAATCACTATTTTGTTAAATGAAATACGTAATTTAAACATTAAAACCTTTTTTCAAATCACTAAAAAATCCAAAACTCGCGCACAGGTCAGGTAGATAACAGCGACTGGGGAATTGACAGGAGTGCTACCTTACTTTCCACTTGGGTGTTGAGGAGCTTACCAGATGGTTTTCTTTTTTCTATCTCTAGTTGTTCTAACATATTCATCTTCCTTCCTTCTTTGCACTTTCTCAGGATTTTGACTATACACTCATCCACCGTCATTTGTATTTTATCAATTAAATGATCACTTGAGGATGAGTTGCCCCTCTTGTTTCATTTTGAATTGGTAAAATGTTCACCTCTGCGCATCTGGACAGAGCAGCCAGTCTGACCAACGCATTCTGTACTTTTTTTGGTATGTTATTCCATAAATTTCACGTTTATTTCCATATTTCTATATATTTATAAGTCCCACGTTCCTTTATGTGTTAATATTTATGTCTTCCTAAATTCATTTCATTTGAGTACGTGACCCTACTGTTTTCTTTCTCTGAAATAATCCTTAACGCTTTTTCTGAGACTTCTTTCACTTAAAAGTAATCCAATTTTTTGATTGTTGGTAGTCCTGTTCCCTTTAAAAATCATGGCGCCATTTAGTTTCTATTTTTTCCTTCTTAATATGCAATGGATGCATCTACTGTTATAACCGTTGTTTGTAGCTATTTTCTTACTTATTTTTAGCTCTTTTTTGTACTCTTCTCTGCTCAATGGTATGCTAAGAAGGTGATTGATCATAATATGGAAAGCAGCCATTGCTCCAGCTGTGATAAGATTTAGAGGGAATAACAGCATCAGTACTACTTTCTTTCCTACAGATGCCAAAAACAAGCTTGTTTTTTACTATGCTTACTGCTAGGTCAAGTAACTTCAACTTTTTGTTGCCATTTTCTAGTTTAAATTTGATATTAGGGTCTACCATATTGATTTCCGCGACAAACTTATCCAGTTCTCTATTGGTACCTGTTCAGATTAGAAAAATATCATCGACATACCTGTGCTAAGTTTAAATGTTTTTCTTCCACTTAGTGTTTTCGTTGATTATGGTGTCAAATTTGATCAAGAAATCGTCTGAAAAAAGTGGTGATGACGGAACGCCCATGGCTAACCCTCTCTTGAGCTGGTAAATACGGTTCTAGAACTCAAAATAGTTGTTTTCCGTCGCAGACATTGCCAAATCTTGAAACTGTTTATTTCTGACTTAGATAGGTTGGAGTACTTTTTCATTATTTCACCAGTATGGTGGATGGCTTCTATTCTGTTTACATTTGTGTACGTGTTATCCACATCTAAAGGGATAAGTTTGGCGTTGCTGGGAATTTAGAGATCTTTAATCATACTTATTAAATCTAGAGAGTTCTTAACAACGGTTATAACAATAGATGCATCCACCACTTACTAGGAAGGAAAAAAGAGAAACTAAATGGCACCATGATTTTCAAAGGGAACAGGACTACCAACAATAAAAAAAACTGGACTACTTTTAAGTGAAAGAAGTCTCAGAAAAAGCGATAAGGATTATTTCAGAGAAAGAAAACAGTAGTGTCACGTACTCAAATGAAATGAATTTAGGAAGACATAAATATTAACACAAAAAGGAACGTGGGGCTTATATATATATGGAAATAAACGTAAAATTTATGGAATAACATGCAAAAAAAGTAAAGAATGCGTTGGTCAGACTGGCTGCTTTGTCCAGATGCGCAGAGGTGAACATTTTACCAATGCAAAATGAAACAAGAGGGGCAACTCATCCTCAAGTGATCATTTAATTGATAAAATACAAATGACGGTGGATGAGTGTATAGTCAAAATCCTGAGAAAGTGCAAAGAAGGAAGGAAGACGAATATGTTAGAACAACTAGAGATAGAAACAAGTAGCAAAAGCTACCTGCTGAGGGGGCGCCGCCCCCCCAGACCCCCCCCCCTTTCAAATTATATATGTGAGACTTTGAGTATCATAGAAGTCGTGCGGCGACATGCCGAATGAAATGCCACAATTAAAATTATTGGATCAGATGATGAGCTGATAAAAGCGTTACCTAGTAATTTGGGAACATTTCTGACACAGTTTGGTTGCTTTAACTATCACTTTGATTTGCGAAATACAAATCGTTTTCACTTCGTATGTAGTTAAATTTGATTTTGACTGACTTAGTTTCTGATGGATTCAAACTCATAATATACATTTAGGTTCCAGGGAAAGAAAAATGCAGATGAGCTACACTTCACATGAATATAGATTGATTAAAAATAAATAATCCGAAGAAGTGATAGAATAAATGATAATTGTTTACTAAAGTAAATACTATACCTAGGATTCATAGGAATTTTAAATAAAATCCCACCCATCACTAAAATAACCCATATGTATATACTCGTGGTGCCTGCTCTCGGCTCGATTTCGCTGAATGGAATTCTTTATCATCGTGGTTGTCCTTGTTGTGTGCAGGAGGAAATGAAGGCGCGCTCGCAGTAGCAAGAAGCAGACGCGCCAGGTTGCTTGCGACGCGTGAATGTAGCTTAACCTCCACAGATTAACAAACCATCGAGCAGCCACGCGGAAAGTCCTATACCTACATATAGAAAAAAAGG